AGGCAGCATGCAGAGCTGCCTGGCTGTGCCTCCACCAGCAACAGCAGGGATGGGGAGCCGCTTGCAGGGAGCCGCCCATGAGTGCCCCCCCACAGACCTCAAAATTTTACCGTGGACACTTGTGTCAGTGTTTGGACACGTTGTTGACCCCTGCATCAGTGCTGATGACTGGTTCTGCTCGACAATGATCTAAAGCAGCGTGGACCAATGCATGTTGATTTTCATCATCTAAGTCAGATGCCACCAGCAGAAGGTTAGTTGGGAGGGTTGGGGTTTGGTGGTTTGGGTTCTGTAGTTTCCTCATCGGAGTGTTGCTCTTTTAAGACTTCTGAAAGCATGCTCCACACCTTGTTCCTCTCAGATTTGAATGCTGTAGCTATCTTTAAAATCTCACATTGGTACCTTCTTTGCATTTTGTTAAATCTTCAGTGACAGTGTTCTTGAAACGAACAACATGTGGTGGGTCATCATCTCAGACTGCTATAACATGGAATATGGCAGAATGCAGGTAACAGAGCAGGAGACGTACAATTCTCCCCCAAGGAGTTCATTCACAAATTTCATTAACACATGATTTTTTTAATGAGTGTCATCAAGTGTGGAAGCATGTCCTCTGCAATGGTAGTTGAAACATGAAAGGCCATACGAATGTTTAGCATATCTGGCACTTAAATACAGTAAAAGCTGTTTTATCCGGCATGTTGGGAGAATGGGGGGTGCAGCTAAGTGAAAAATGCTGGTTAACTAAGAGGGAGGGAGTTTGGGTGCGGGAGGGGGCTCGGGGCAGCGGGTTGGGGCACAGGAGGCGGTGCGGGGTGTTGGATCCAAGGCATTGCTCACCTCAGGAGGCTCCCCACAAGTGGCAACCTGTCCCGGCTACTCCTAGGCAGAGGCGCGACAGGCAACTCTGCGTGCTGCCCCCCACCTGGCCCTGCACTCTAGCTCTGCAGCTCCCATTGGCCAGGAACCATGGCCAAAGGGAGCTGCGGGGGCGGTGCCTGCGGGCACAGGCAGCGCGCAGAGTGGCCACAAATAAAAAGCAACTTTGGAGCATTTAAAGTATATTGCTGATTGGGACTGTGATATTTTGGAAAATAGTTTTAATGCACACAATAAGAAATATTATAAAATGTAAGTCTTATGCAGAAATTACTATTCATAATAATAAATCAAAGACACTGTTCAGTTGGTTTAATGCAATCAGTTTCTTATGGAATTGATACTGTGGAATGGCAATAAAGGAATGAGGATAAAAGTTTGATCTCACTGGATGTACAATACCTTTTAATATACTTGTATGTACAGTGGTTTTATTGAAAGCTTTTTTCTTATCTAAATTATTGTAAATAACAATCCATAATTATTATAGTTTAATAATCAGGGTCTAGACTGCATTCATAAATAAATCAAATTTAATGTTACCAAAGGTCTGTAATAAATGGGGACAATACAGCAAGTTAACTTTCTTAATGCTCTCTTTTGTTTGCGGATATTTTGGGAAATATGGTATATTTCAGTCTTAAATTTTAGATGCATGAATAAGTAATTTTAAGTTAGAATCTTAAAATTTCCCAGTTTTGTGATTTAGTCAAGTATGTTGTAATGGCTGCATATCAAAATTATATGTAGCTGAGTAGAAATACTTTGCTATTAGAAAGCCAGATTAAAGTATAATTCACCCTTCAGTTTGAACCTCAGAAAGTGCACTGGCATTGGGGCTTGACTTTTGCTTAGAGAGAGAATAAAGAGGTATTTTTACTTTGTTTAAAATAACCCCAGTGGTGATTGCTGAAAACTGTGTATGATATTTTGCAATTTCAGAGAAATTCCTTTATACAGGAAGCAATATATCATAATACTAAATTCCCTACATTTATACATGTAGATTATGGATTTTTATTGTAAACCAGATAAAAATTCAAACTATGGGCCATCTTTTAGTGTGTCTACTTTTGAATGATACTATATATAGTCACTGTCTCTTTCTCTGCAGAATTTAGTCAACATGAATATTTACTGTAAGTCTCCGCTCTAGATTGTGTCAATTTGACCCACTCATCTTCCCAAGGAGCAGGATATTCATAGGAAACCAATAAAGCAGCTTCAGCTTAAGCAGAGCAACGGTGTTCTTGGACTGGATGTCAAAGCCCCTTGTTCCCTCCAGTTCAGAATTATCTTTCTTATTTTTGTATTGGGAAACTTAGTCTCAAAAAATCCATTAAGATCATGTCACTGATCTGATTACTTTTTTAAAACTCTATCATGCTAGATATCTATGATGATAAATATTCTGTGGACTAGTAGACAATGTGTGTGTAATGGGGATATATCTTTTCACATTGCTCTTAGCTTTGCAGTACATAAATCCAGTTTCTGCTTCCTGATTTAAAAAGTGGGGTTGGTATCCACTTTGGAAAAGACATGTCATTCTATTTGTGAAAATATATATGTGTAATGGGGAGTGCATGCAACATTTAGAAGAAGAAAACGGTGTTCCTAGTAACAAATCATTTTCCTTGGGTCTTCTCTAGGGTTTGCAGTTCATAGAATCATAGATGGTTAGGGGTGGAAGAGACCTCAAGAGGTCATCTGCCAGTATATGGTGTATAATATTGTTGGTATACAATTGTATATGAATTGTTCTAAGTTGAAATTAGTTCAAAGGCATGTATGTATAATATATAAATATATTCTATACAGTTCACATATACAATGTAAATACATATACACCTTTACCCCGATATAATGCTGTCCTCGAGAGCCAAAAAATCTTACCGCCTTATAGGTGAAACCGTGTTATATCGAACTTGCTTTGATCTGCCAGAGTGCGCAGCCCCCCCCCCCCCCCCGGAGCGCTGCTTTACAGCGTTATATCCGAATTCATGTTATATCGGGTCGCGTTATGTCGGGGTAGAGGTGTATGTATATGTACGTTATTTTTATATATATATATATATATATATAGTGACAAAGTTCCTCCTCTATCTCGGTGGGTCCTGCGCTTATTGGCGGATTTTCTTGCCTCAGAGATTCACCATGTGGGTTGGGGAACAGCTCAGAGACCTTCCCCTCTGGAAGAACCCACAGCCCAGGTCAATTGGGAGGTTTGGGGGGAACCTGGGCCTGCCCTCTACTCTGGGTTCCAGCCCAGGGCCCTGTGGACTGCAGCTGTCTATAGTGCCTCCTGTAACAGCTGCATGACAGCTACAACTCCCTGGGCTACTTCCCCATGGCCTCCTCCAAACATCTTCCTTATTCTCACCACAGGACCTTCCTCCTAGTGTCTGATAACGCTTGTGCTCCTCAGTCCTCCAGCAGCACACTCTCACTCTCAGCTCCTTGCGCCTCTTGCTCCCAGCTCCTCACACTCACACCACAAACTGAAGTGAGCTCCTTTTAAAACCCAGGTGCCCTGATTAGCCTGCCTTAATTGATTCTAGCAGCTTCTTCTTAATTTGCTCCAGGTGTCCTAATTAGCCTGCCTGCCTTAACTGGTTCTAGCAGGTTCCTGATTACTCTAGTGCAGCCCCTGCTCTGGTCACTCAGGGAACAGAAAACTACTCATCCAGTGACCAGTATATTTGCCCTCTACCAGACTCCTGTACCCCAGTTGTCTGGGTCTGTCACAATATATATATATAATAGTGTGTGTGTGTGTGTGTGTGTGTAAATAAAGATACAATATATTTGTACCTAATATACTTTTATAATGTTTTGACATTATAGTCCACTTGTCTATTACAATTTCAAGTCCTAAACTGTTACCATACAATTTCTGATAGTTACGTTGTTAAAAAAAGTTTTATTTAGAACCCTTAATAAAGCAGAATTTTATTTACATATACTGCAGGACATTATCTTCCAAATTAACCAGATTTACCATTTTCTCAGAATCACAAGGCAAATACAAATAACAAGTACATGAGAGGCCATAATTTATATACAGACTATTCAAATTTTACTTTCAGTGTTTTTATCTCAAGTGTCCTTAATAAAAATAAATTGATATCATAAACAAACAAATATTCAGTTTGAGTTCAGGCTTTCTGGCATTGAAAAGATAACCACAATATGTGTTTCCCTGAAGCGTAATCTGAAATATTGACCATCTGAGGCAGGTCTTCACAGCTCTAGCCGGATTCCAATGGGAGCATCAGATTGCTATGCTTTTATAGTGAAGTTGTTGTTTGTGTGTTTCATTGTAAATAGTTGAGAAAAGCAGACATTTGCAAGATGTTATTAATAGGGGCCCTGGACATTTTTCAAAATTTCACTTCCCCCATGCCCTCAGTTTCTGTTGATATTTGGGATTTGAATCAACCTAGGATCTGAAAGTTGTGTTCATTATTCTCTCAAGATGTGCCAAAAAACCCTACCGGAGTTTTGAGCTATTATTTGTCTGTCTTGTTTACAGACTCAAGAAGGATTCACAGCGTTGGTTCACATATGTATGTTATCTAGGATACCAGAAAGGCTAGACACTTAATTTTCTTTTAAATGGAAGTTTAAATTGTCCTGAAAGCAGTAGATATATTAAGCACTTGAAGAGATTTTAAAGCTATGAAATAGCATAACTTTTTTGCACATATTTCCAGTGTCCTTACTGGTAATGTATGTAAATTAATGTTTTGACATCTGATTTGTAGCTGAGTAGTGAGTTTAGACTACCACAATAAACATGTCAAGCTATGTTCTAGCATGCAATGTCCTGCCATTTAATAACTTTATAAGGAGTGGATTGTATTTTTTAAAATGTCACTGAGATTATGTAGCACAACTCTGGGCTCCATTATGCAGCCCTTCATGTGCAGAAAATGGCCATAGAAACCAATGAAAGTTTTTGTGTGCACTGCAGGGTTAGGTTCTCTGTTGTTAATTTGCTAAGATTTATATGCTTTCTAAGACTTGATAGCTTCTATCTTATAAAGCTTCAGTGATATATTTGTTATACAACTCCAGACTAAGCTTTAAATATTGTTTATAACCCTTTTTCACTACAGAGACTCCTGCTGTATTTCCAGAGAATATCAAGGAAAAAGAAACACCAACACCAGTTGAAGATATTCAGCTGGAAAGCTCCATTCCTCATACAGATTCTGGTATTGGAGAGGAGCAGATGCCCAGCATCTTAAATGGGACAGACTTAGAGACAAGCACAGGCCCTGATGCTATGAGTGAATTATTGTCTACTTTGTCTTCTGAGGTAAAGAAATCTCAGGAAAGCTTAACAGAAAGTCCCAGTGAAATCTTGAAGCCTGCACCTTCAATATCCAGCATCAGCCAAAGCAAAGGCATGAATGTCAAGGAGATACTAAAAAGCCTTGTGGCAGCCCCTATTGAAATTGCAGAGTGTGGTCCTGATCCTATCCCTTACCCAGATCCTGCGTTGAAGAGGGAAGCTCAGTCAATTCTTCCCATGCAGTTTCACTCCTTTGACAGGTATATGGCTGAGTTAATTATTTTATATTGTTGTAATGCTGAGATTTGGAATATTTATTTGTTAACATGTTGATAGTCCAGTGTGAATTCAGATTAGATAGTATTAAGAAAATACAGTTGCTTTACTTCTTCATGGCATTACTAAAACCAGACCATACAGTATCTGCAAAAGTTATTCACATTGTTTTTCTCTCTAAGCACCAAATAAAACTGTAATTGGTGCTGGAAGAACAAGCCTGTTTTAAAGAACTGTTGTTGTAATAAAACTTTTTTTTCTCTTTTAAAACCATATTTTGAATGGGGAAAAGTCTCTATTTATATACAAGAGACTGGCTGTGTGAAGTCCCAACAAAATGCTTCCAAATGTTTGTCATACCAGTCCTCTTCCAGTAGTGAAATCAGTCATGCCAGATTGTGTGCATACTTCCATAAGAACAAGATTGAGACTGACTCCTGTATTTCATTTTTAAAGTTTTAAACCCAATTTTTTTTATATTTTAAGGGAACACATTTTACATTGTGAGCCATATTTTTTTTTTCGCATGGTTGACTGAAAATGCTCACACTACTGGTTAAAGTAGCTTAATTTGAGGCAACCACACCAGCTGCATAAATCTTAATATAGGAGTTGTGTTGAGAGATGCAATTGACAACATCCTGCAAAAAAGGAGTTACTTGTATTGTGTGTTCATCCTTAACGTATGCAAGAGAAGAATCAGTTAAACAAATAATTAAACAATCCAGCACGAGCTTTGATGTGTGGCAAAACTGTAAAATAGTGCTTTAGAAATTATATTACTTACGATTCGTATAACCACATCCTGAAAAAAAATTCTGAGGGTACTTCAAAAATAAGTATTTCAGGTTTAAAATATGATAGAGGAAAACTGCTACAGATGTATGAAATACACACAAAAATTCTCATAATAGAGGATTAAATTATTGTCCATAAAATGTTAATGGAAACAAAATCCAGTCAATAGTTCCAGGTTAATGTAAATAGTAAGGAGAAAAAGGATAAATGAAAATTGCAGGATAAAAACTTATTATATGATGTTAGGAAGCACTTTTCATTACACAAGTATAGTGAAGCTGATAAGACAAAATTGTTGGAAGCGGCCTCAGTGAACTAATTAATAAACAATGAGATTGTACCTGTTGGAAAAGAGAGGCAGACAATGGACTGGGACTGAATATCAAAAAGGAAATGTGGTCTTCCCAAAAAAAATCTTCGTTCTTTTGATCATTTCAGAGAGACAATCTACTTATTGCCTACTTTATTAGGAAGAAGCTTTTTTTTTTCCCATTCATCAACTTACATATGGTAATTTGGGTTGGTTTCAAGGGGGAAAAATAGATGAAAAACCTTTGAGGTTTGTGGTTTTTTCTGTGTGAGCAACCATCATATTCCCAAATATATTCAAAGCTGTCTTCTTTTACATTTATCCGTACAGCATGTACGCTATTTACAAATTACATGATAGTTGCCTAAGAAATAGTAAATACTCGAACTTTAACATATTAAATTTCCTTTTTGATTGTAGCACTGCATGTGGGCTCTAAGTCTTCATCAGAATCTTCACCCGCACAGAATCCTATTAATTTCTGTGAGACTCCAGGCAAACTTGTGCATCTACATTAATGGTTCTCAATACAGATTCAGGGCCTAAGGTTATATGCAATTGTCAGCTTTTTAATAACTTTATTAATGTTGTATAGACATTAAGTATTTTGTTGGTTTTATTTTCTTAATAGTACAGGGTCAAACTGTGTCCTGGCTAATGCAGTGGCACAGGTGCGTGAGGAGGTGCCCCTGCACTTGCTATCTGCATTGCTCAGTGCATGTGTGGGAGACGGGATGTAATGGAGCGGGGAAATGGGCAGACCATTGACTCTACCCCTTACTGTGCAGGGTGGCATTGCTGTAACGCTGCACTTGACAGCATGTGCTGCACTAGGTTTATGTGTGGCACAGTTTACTTCCTTAATCAGCAAGAGAGCTCAGTGAAAGAGAGTGACTGAAAAGACTGAGTCCCAATCTTTGAATGCACTGCCTGCTAGTCAAAGCAGATTATCTCAGGATTTAGTCCAAGTGTAGATCAGTGGTTCTCAATCTTTTCTATACCAACATCCTCTCCTTACCCTCATCAGGGAGGTCTGGGGCCCCCCTTAGCTGAGGGCTCCCTCCCACTTACTAATATGGGAAGGGCAGGGTGGTTGCAACAAGACTGTGCTCCTGATACACGTTGACAAATCCCAGTTTGACACATACCACATTCCACCTCTAGAAAGAATAATTCAGAGAAGGCCAGTGCTGATCAGTAAAGTATTTTGTAACAGCAGAGCCGTATTCAGCAAGGAATGTAGCATATCCTGTCAGTGGACAGCAAAACAGGAAGTTCTTGTGTTTGATTCCTTCCCACTCATACCAGACAGATATTAAAAGTTGGAAAAAGAAGACACACCTGTATCTTCATTCACTTGTACTAAGTAGTACTAGTTGTCCTTACTTGGCTAAATAGCAATTCTTGTAGCTATTATAAATTAGTCACTGGAAAAAGTGAACAGCTTTAATTTGACTGGCAGCAGCAGATTTCCCCCATCTGAGACACAGGGAGCATTCAGTGTTTTCCCCAGTTATGTGAGGCTGGGCAGCTTTGGCTATTACACTTGGTGTTACTGGGAAATGCTCAGAGGGTTTTTGTGTATATGGTATTGCTATTAAAATTGTCTTCTGATTTTGTAAACCCATAAACTTTCACTAGAAGAATCTAAAGGTTTTCTTTTGTAAAGATGGATTCTTGGTTCCCAAATAGCTCAGTGTTCCATGCTTTTATGCGTGCTCAGGTTCCCTTGTCATCTGCTGCAGTGGCTCCTTTGAAGTACTGTGGTTCCTGACAAGCATCCTGGTGCATGCTTTGATCTAAATCTGCCATAGAGGAAAGCTGCAATAGATAGATCCATAGAAGAGAGGAAAAAAGACACCCTGCTGCCTGGTTCCATGGAACAGTGTAGGGAACATGCATTGTAATCTAATTAACTTCCAATTGGGACACCAAAAGACCACTGCAGGGAGGTCCCAGCAGGGCAGGGAGACAAACCAGAATGTTATATATGACAGAATAGAAAAATACTGAATTCCATGACAATTTGGAAAAAATGCCAAATGTCATGGCTGCAGTATCAGAGTCCATAGGGCCTAGGCAGAGATGAATGGAACAGTCATATCCAAAAGTATTAATGTGGGCTGCCCGCAGGTTCAGGCAGGTATCATGGCATCAGTTTGCACTTAGTTCATGTTTTCAATGTTATCTTCCTAGCTGTAAGGAGACATAGGCCGTGGAGACATTTTTTTTTTTCTAAAAAAATAAATGGAAGACTATAAAATGGAGAAAGAGAGAGGGTCACCTTGACTTTCCTGAAACCTGTTTTGGGGGTTACAACCCATGGGCTGAGAAATACCTGATAGTAGATTTAAAAGTATATGTAAGAGATTGGCATAGAAATGCATTAAGAGAGCCACTTAGAAACAATACGTCTGTATTTTAGGTTGTAATGCTTTGTGGATTTTTTCCTCCTATCCTTCCTCTATTATCTTTGAAAGACTGAAGTTGCAGGCTAGTTGTTCTCTGTCCTGGTGTTTCCAGGCTATACCTAAAAACCTTTTTTGTCTAGAAGGAAAGTATTAAAATAATTATTTGTGTTGGAAAATCTGTAATAGATTTGTAGGTATATTTTTGTTTATTAGTTTATTTAAGAAATTGGAGACAATTAATATTTTACATGGTATTTTCTTTGAAAGTTTATGTACATTACCAGGTGCTACAAGATAAATATTTCTTACATTGGGGGTTATGGTGATTCTTATAAAAGAAACCACTGGAATAATGGTAAAATAATTAAACTATTTTTTGAAGAGCTGTGTGCTTTTAAAGCAATTTTTTTTAAAATTGCAACCTCTTATTATATATATTGGGGGGTCAAATGAAAATTTACCAAAACTCATGTAAATAAATTCAAAGCAGTGTTCACTTTTATTATCTAATACAATTTTATAACACTGAATGTTTCTTTTTTAATAACAAAATTGGCAATGGTACTTGCTTAGAGTAACGTATATATGTGTTGCAGTGCATTATTTCTTAGAACTTGTATAACTATAAATGAAATGTAAAAGCACAAAACATGTTCCAGCACATTTTATCAAATGAGACTTCTGTGTAGTTAATGTATGCAGCAGGTCAAGTACTATCGAATGTAAATGATGAGGTGATATTGATGAAAGGAGGGGATTGAGGTCTCGAGGGGCGCTGATGACGGATTGAACAGAAGCGGCCTTGCGCTGCACGTAACTCAAGCCTGTCATCTTCACTGCTCAAAGCTATAATGGGAGGTGGCAGTCTGAAATGAGTTGCCACGGCAAAGAGTATTATTTTTGAAATGCTTTCACACAAATCACTAGGCCCTGCATACAACTTAGTTTCATGCTTTAATGTCATCAGGAGGCACAAATTGGTGTGTCTAATTGTTTGCCACCTGCCAGCAAAATGAGCTGCCAGCCAGCCAGACGGGTTTGATTGTCTGTCAGCCATTCAATAGATTGAGAGTGACAACATCAAAAATTTCACTTCAAACTCTGAAGCTTTGCGTAGCTTTTCAGAGACCTCTTCCCTGCAAGTGCTTCTGGACAACTGCATTTTTCAATTAGTTTTCAATATATTGCTGCCTTCTGCCTCATCTGTGTTAAGGTAGCTGTAATTACATTATGAGCTATATAAACAGATTTCTGGGACGCTGGAGCCTGGATTCTCAAAGTTATGACATGTCTTTTAACATCAAACTGAACTCCTTGAAAATAACATCCAGGGTGACATGTTTAAAAGCAAGCACTGAGGGTTATCTGTCCTAGACTTATAACTGTAATGGAACATAATGTGCCAGTAATTCCTTCTTCCATTCTCATCATTTTGATGGCAAAAAAACCATAAAATTCAGTTCTA